CACTTGCTGCGCCTACTTGGAAGACTAAACTAGATGTTTTGGCAGAATGAGGGTGCCCAGGTCCCATACAGTCTGTTTTCCAGTGTTGCTTAGGCTGGAAACATGTGTAAATTGGTGTCCACATTATGGAGTTTACAGATTGTTAAGATATCTGGAACAAATGAATAGTTTCTTCAAGCTGTCCAAAAAAACAAACAAACAAACAAACAAACAAAAAAAAACAAACAAACAAACAAACAAAAAAACTGTCTTAAAGTGTTTCATATTTGCTTTCATTAAGATTGGTGGCTCGAACTTTGACAACTCACAACACCCTTGGCATACGAAGAAGTCTCTGTATGGTTTGACCTCTTAATGTCTGAACTGCGTTCAATACATATCCAGAACTGGGAATATGCATAAAGCATCATATTTTCTGAGTATTTTCTTAGCCCTAAGGCCAGCTGGATGCTCCTAGAGGTCCACACAATATCCACACAACCATGCTCCACAGTTCACCTGTGTCCCTCTGGTGTAGAGCCAGCTCCTCTGGGCAAAGTGTTCTGGTGGAGATAAAACTCATTGGGGTCGGCAATAGAGCTTCCCAAAACAGGGCTGAAATTGCAGGCTTGACTCTTCTCCAGAAATGTATGAAAACAGAGACAACTTTCTTGCCCATTAGGCCCTGCTCCACATCCTCAGTTTTTGTCTTCACAGGGTCCCTAAAACATCTGCGCTAGAAGAAATATTTACTCAGCTCTTAAGATTCATAGCTTCAGGATAATATTTTAGTGATTTTTTTTTTCCTCGGGGAAAAAAAAAAAAAAAAAAAAAAAAGAGTACATACCTTTGAATATGAATCCTGCATGACACAGTTATGTATCCTATGTCAGTGTAACTTGCTAGAGACAATATAACGTGCATCTTTGGTCTTTTTCTCTTACCGTGCTTCACAAAATTGGAGGACAAGGTCTGGTGTTGGTTTTGCTTTGGTTTTTGAAGATTATTTTAATTATCTGTGGCTGTCTGCATTGCATTTGGAAAAGCAATTAGCTTCATATACTTAGACTGTTCTCTACAGACATCAGGTGTTAAGAAAACAGTGCTAAGAAAATTCACAAAAGCTCTTGGCTCTCTTGCATAACAGCTGGCTGAACAGATAGAGGGTTAAGGTTTCGTTTTGGAAGTGGACGGGCCTTTGAAGTCAGTGAAATAACTCTCCTGGTTTAGATTCAATTTTCAGTCAATTGGTGGTCAGATTAGCTGTAGGACTGCTAGTGTCTTGCTGGTGATGAGCTAAAGCAATTAGATGCCTGAAGCTTGTCATCTCCTTGTTAACAGGCTTCTGGGTATGCCTGCAGCCCCCTTATTTGCAGAAGACTGTAATTCAAATGACATTTGTGAGTTATTTATAGGAAACTAGTGCTGGAGCTGTAACCTATATAAAATCAGCCACTATTTTAGTTCCTTGACTGAGATATATTCTCCAAGATTTCCTGGCTTCAGGATTCTCCTGATTTCAAATGTAGGGTCAAGCTGGACCCACCTTTTTATTTTATTTTTTTTTTTCCAGTTTTATGTGGAAATCTTTCTATTATTCTGTGATTAATGTCTCTTGAAATCTCAGGCCCAGGCATTAGAAATCAAAAAAAGTGCAGAAATATGCAGGAATGAGTGGGCAGCCTCAAGACCAGGCAGTGTGAATGTTTCTCAGAGTATGTTCATTCACAGAGACTGAGGACACAGCAGAGCTCATATGGAAAGCACTCGGGTACCAGGAAGGAAATTTGGTAGCTCAGTCAGCTGCAGAGATGGAAACATTGGGTAACAGCAACATTAACTGTGAGAAAGGATCTGCATCTGCCCTGTCACTCATAAGCAGGCACATTTTATCTGCTTGCTGAATTCATCCACTGGTGTCATTATTCTGCAGATTCTGCCTGTGCTTTCTCTCTCTGCAGCATCACCAGATCAAACCTTTCCCCTGCAATATATAGGAATCAATCACACCAGCTCAATTCTGTATAGTACAGTACAACACTTTCTGGTTTAAGTCCACTGAATAAATATGGTGAATTTAATTATTACTATCCATCAGATCCTCTTTTCCTAAATTCCCTAATTTCCACTCCACTTCCCCTTCTTTCTGTAAAACAAGTATCTGGAAAGAATTCATCTTTAATCATAGAGAGACATTTAAATTTGAGTTGAACAGATTTAATTAATGTGTAGAACTAAAAATTAGAATAGTGTCAGTACCTTGTTTTTTATATGTGTTAAGAGTGTTATTTGAGAACAGTTGTAATAGAATAGTTGTAATTTACTTCAAAGCATAAAATTGATCAGATCAATGTGTAGCAAAATGATGCATGGTTGCTGAGATTATGGTAATTAATTAATCACCTAAATGTATGTTTAAAGTGAAGTTTGATTGATAAGAGCCAGCAAGATTAAAATTAATCAGTAATCCACACAAAATGCACAACTATTTTAGCATCATTTTTGTAAATCTTTCATAATTCTTTACAAATATTAATAAAACAAATATGTTTTGACTGCATAAAATAACCTTAAAAGCATATTGGGCTCCATTTTCATTACCAGACAGTTATCTCCAGCATAAATATGTTCCTGTTATGCATAGAAAGATGCCAGATTGACACATCCATTCAGGAGTGCCAAACTCTGTGCTTTCTGACTGCTATATTGATTCCAGTGAGAGGTTTTGTTGCTGGATCTTAATTAAGCTTGCTGATGATGAAGCTCAAACCAGATTAAACACAACATATTCTTCCTTGCTACAGTCACTCCTAAGTGACATTAGAAATCAGAAGCACCAGCAGAAACTACTTATATTTTGACTTTGCTAATGATTTAGGCTGTCATGATCACCTCTGAAAACCTCTCTTGTTATCAATTTCCTGTTACCCATATTTGTACAAGTGAGAATTTACATACTTATTTTGATGTGTTCATATATTTATATGTGTATACACTTGCTAGGGGTCTAACCTCTTACCGTAATGGAGTTCTAATGAATATATTGGACAAAGTTGAGAAATGAACTTTAGCCCAAAGTAGACATTTACAATGATGGCTACATATTTTCTAGCCCATGCTGGCTGTATTACATATATGGCTGCAAGGAGAGCTGAGACATCTAGCTTGCATACATAAATGTCCATCTCAATACCTAAGTCAAAACTTCTTGGTGTGTATAACCCCTTCGACAATACCATTTTTCCCCATTGTATGACAATCTCAGCATTATTTTCTTGTCTTTCATAAAACCTTAATTCCTTAAATCTGAATTTGGCTTATATGTATATAATTATTTTCTGGACTTGAAGTCTGAAAAGCATGAACACAGAAATAACTCCTAGCTGAACATGTGACAAACACAAGTTAAAAGATAATATCTGATATCATATCTGATCAAATATGATCAGAATTTAAAACAAACAAACAAAAAGGCAATGATTTAAACAACAAAAACAACAGTGATTAATTGGGAGCTTCTTACCATTTGAACTTACAGAGTAGATAATTAAGTTTTTGGTGAACCAAAAACTCACCCTCTTTCCATCTGTTCCTCACAGAATGACTGAAGGAGGACTGGTGAAGAAGTGATTGCGATCAGGTGAATATAGACTTTTAACCTTCAGGACCAAAATTCCCCTCTATGAATTTCTTAGGAAAGTCCCTATAACCATGTGTGCACTGCAGTAAACAAACAACTATAACCTTATCACTGGTACTGTAATAATACTAATATTTATGTTCCAGATGACAGAACACTAGTTTGGAAATTTAGGAGCCTTGGAATTGCATTCCCAGCTCGCCTGCCAGACAACTGTGAACCATACAAAGGTCATTCCATACTCTGCATGCAGCTGGTTTCCCAGCTTCAAAATACTTTATTTTGTTATTTTTTTCCTTTTTTTTTTTTTTTTTTTTTTTCGTTTTGGAACTCTTGTCTGCTTAATCTGTAAATTCTCTGGGGTAGAGACTCTTGTTATATACAGAAAGGGGTCTTGGTCTCACAAGACCTTCACATTTTATGATAATACAAATAACATTAATCTTATACATATTTGTTCCTGTTTAACCTGGTTATGTGTATAGACAAAGCATCGCATTTGGTGAGCACATTTGAGAGTTGCATCTGAATTGCTTTCAGCCACTGATTTTAATCCATATTACAGAACTGTTTTACAATCAGACTAATGCATCTGATATACAATCATTAATTTTCAAAATATTTATAATTTTCCCAGCGGAACAACTTGGTGTGGCCAACATATTGTGGATCTACATATTATTCACAGCACTGTAAAAAATTAAAAGATGCATTAAAAGATTTTGACTTATCAATATTGACAACACCTAACTACACCTCTTCAAAAGACACTTCTACAGCTTAATGTATAGCTGACTAGCTCTTTGATGAGAAGTTAATTTGACCATAATGGTTCTGTTTGAATCACTTGGGTCTGTCAAATTAATAAGACCTCATAAATCACTTGGCTATAACTCAGAAATTCCCAAGATGTCACAACAGATAGTAGTAGTATATAAAACACTTAAAAGCGACATGCAAAATGATCTGTAAGCTTTCTGCAGGGATATCCTTCTCTAATCTGAAATTAAGCTCTTGTGTGTAGACAGTGAGCACCAGAGGACCAGAGGTGACTTGTCCCTGTTTCTAGCCTCATATCTCACATCTCCAGCCAGCTTTGCTCTCAAGAACTTAGGTGAAATGAAAATGTAGACTTCCTGTTCCAAATGCAGAAAAAAGTCCAAGTTGTGATGAGCCTGGTACTCATGAGATGGATGCATTAATTATTGTATTGAACATGAACAGAGACTCAAGTGGGAGGTGTTTTTGGAGTCAGAATTTTAAAGCCTGTGGTTAGAGGGTAGGGATATGAGGATGGACATCTCCACAGGAAGGGGAACAAACTTGACCAAATGTTGGAAGAATTAAAAAAACTTAAAGTTTAAAAACTTAAAGAAAAATGTTAATTTTTTACATGTGTATTTATACACACGTAAACAGAACAGAACAGCTTTTCTGGAGTTATTTTTTGTCATTTGGGCTGAGTAGTTTAGTAAAACCATAACAACAACAACAACAATAAAAGTGAAGAGCTTGAAACCATCATTCAGACACCATAAAGATGCTACAGTGCATAAATACTCTATATTCTCTATTCATTATTTCTGAAAACTTCTGTGCTTTCCTCTTATCAGCTTATGCTGAACATCTTCCAAAATAAGATATGTCCCTGACTGTTTAGTATAGAAAGAAAAAGACAATGATAAAGTATAAGTAATAAAACAGCAGACAAAGTTGATGCCAGGGGCAAGCTCATGTAAGTTGCCACTACAATTATCAAATTATACAAAAGAGAACCTCCCAATTTGGAACTGATTATTTTTTGACTTCATAAAACTACAGGGATAATTCATTCATTGCCCTTTTCTGCTCCCTTTAATTAGGTATTTTCAACAAGTCCCTTCTTCAGCATTAAAGTTGTTATGAAGCATGGGTAAGACAAGCTTTTTTTCTATGACTCATTGTAGATAATAATGGCAGGATCCTGAAAACATTTTCTCAGTGGAGGAAAACTTTCTGCATCTTTACAGTACTCCAACCTATATAAAACCAATGGAAACAAAAAAAAAAAAAAAAAAAAAAAAAAAAAAAAAAAAAAGTTAAAACAAACTGAAATCCCTACATATTTCGCTAAATGAAGGAGAGTTATGTGAAATACTTTAAAGCCTTCATATTGCTCTCCTCACAGCAGTGTCCCACAAGATCTTTGGCCTAGTAGTTTTCATAGTCCCAGCCATAATTTTTAGCTACCTTCTTAACTGTCCTGTTTTCAGCTGTGATTTTTTTTTTTCTTTTCCTATTATCTAGTATGGTGCTGTGTTTCGGATTTAGGACGAGAATAATGCTGATAACAAACCAATCTTTGAGTTGTTGCAGAGCAATGTTTACACAGAGCCAAGGACTCTTCTGCTTCTTGTGCTGCCCTGCCAGTGAGGAGGCTGGGGTGCACCAGGAGCAGGGAGGAGAGGCAGCTAGGACAGCTAGCCCAGGCTGACCAAAGAGGTATCCCATACCACGTAGCATTATGCTGAAAAATAAAACAGGGAAAAGTTGGCTAGGGGAGCTGCTGGTGCTTGGGAACTGGCTGGGCATCAGTCAATGGGTAGTGAGCACTTGACTCGTGAATCTCTTGTGCTTTTTTTTTTTTTTTTTTTTGGTGGTGGTAGTGGGTTTTATTTTTATATATTTTTATTTACTTTTATTTTCTTTCCTGTCTTATTAAACTGTCTTTATCTCAGCCTATGAGTTCTCACATTTTTTTGCCTTTCTTTTATTTGATTCTATCCCCCCCAATCACACTGGGGTGGGAGGGGTGGGGAGAGTGGAGGTGGATTGGAGAGCAGTGTAGTGTGTAGCTGCCTGCCAGGTTAAACTATACCACTCAGCCTGACCAAACAGTCCCACATCTCCTTCTTGTTGTAAGGGTGCCTTATCTGTCAGGTTTTAGGAACTTGAGAAAGAATGGTAATGAACACAATGAAAAGAATATTCAGAGAAAAAATACCTACAGAAGAATTAGCTGAGGGTGGTTCAGCTTTCTTCCTGGTCCCATATCTGTCTTCATTTCGCTGTAAGGATAATAATTGTATTAACAGGCCCTGGAGCAGGAATGGAAGGATCTTCACTCCAAGATGGTGCCCCATGTAATTTTGTCTCACCACTGCTCTCTACCTTTAAAAGTCTTGCACACCTTTGAACCCTCCATAAAAACAGATAGCACCTCCTCTTCCTCCTTCTCTTGCTAGGGTTTTGCAGAAAAAAATGACTGAAGATCAGTGTTTTCTGTTGCGTTAGGCACCTTCTGAATATACTCATCACATTAGGCCGCCAAGGGATGTGAGATGGAGAAAAGCTGTGTCCTGGGCAGGCCTGGCAATGACTCACTGTGCCCTGCCAGGTTGATGGCAGCTTTGACAGCAGAAAGACTGCCAGGTTTCCTAGAAATTATGTAGTGAAAACATAAATGCCAGCAGATTTTCAAATATCTAAATATTTATCTGGATTCATTTATTCACCACAGGTGACCTGAGCACAAAACGATCCCGTAAATGACTAGAAATCAATGACAGACATGAGAGTCAAACCTAGGTGACCAGAGCATCCAATTTAGTGCTTAATCACAAGAACATTCACAGACCTAGCACAGCTTATGGTTTACACCTGCAGTGCTGAATTGCAAACCTTTTCTGTTTTAACTTGATGCAGGCAAGAAACACACAGCAAGGCCAGCCTAACTAAAAAATAAATAAAATAAAATAATAATAATCATCATCATCTATGGGAGGAATCAGAGCCTGATCCTAATGTTGGGAGTGTCTTTTTCATTTTTTGTTAATTTTCAGTTCAATTCATTCTAATATTTTCCAGTGAAAATTTCATTGCAATAAAAATGTGTGTGAGGTCCTAGTCATCCCTGCTGTTGCCACAGACTATGTCAGCACAACCTTATGCAAAGAGGAATATTGAGATGCCCAGGAAAAGAGAAATTAGTCAAAATTCAAGAAATGGACAAAGTGACTTAAATTACTCCTTCTTGAATGAATAAGACAATATAAATATATATATATATTTCATTAAACTATTAAGAATATGTGTTTTTATCTGTTTGATTTTATTTCATTTCCTTTGGGTTGAAAGGACATGTTTTTAATGTTTTTGAATCTTGGCACTGAAAATGGTTAATGAGAGGAAGAGTAATGCTGATGTTAACTTTGGAATGTTTTTTTTCCTTCTTTTTCTTTAATTTTTTTCATAATTGATTATTTCAATGAAAAAATACCTTCATACATTTTCCCTAATTGTTCCGTATGTAAGAAGAAATGATGTCAAATAACAAACTGTCAGAAATGTTGCCTGGATTCATAGCGATGAGTAAATAGTTCAGGTATCTACAACAATATGCAATGTTCTTTGGTATAGAAGACCTAAATGCATTTATGATTCTGCTATTATTGCTAGAAACAATAAAATATTTTCAAATACAGACAAGTTCCCCAAAGGCTCAAAACTGCAATCTAGCTTCTCAGGTTCAAAGTCAGTGAGCAAATATGCCAAAGTCTAGCTGAAGGAAACTTGCATTCTGAATTTATAGAAAACAGTCCAACTTTATTTATTTATTTATTTATTTATTTATTGCTTTTGCTTTCAAATTGTATCCAAACTAAATAATTATGTTTCCTCATTCTCAGCTGTTTATCATTAAAAGAATGAGCAAATGTTTTCAAATTATTCAATGTATGCTTTGTTTAAGCATCAAATCGTACATATTTGTATACAAAGGGTTGATAAGGGAAGGGTAAAAAAAATCCCAAAGTAACTCTAAATCTCAAAGAAAATATATACAGATTAAAGCTCAGTATTTTTCCGCTCTTAGGGTTGTTCTGGAGAAGTGCATAGACTTATTATAAGGTAGTCAAGGGTCATAATTACAATCTACTGAATATGAAAAATGCAGGGAAGAAAAAAAAAAAAAAAAAAAGAAAAAAAGTACTGTTTTTTATGATCCCAGAGAAGCTCAGACTCAAATATTAGTTATTCTGTTGCAAATTAGAAGCACACTAAGTACATCTACTGAACTGAAAATAAAATTGGGACTATGTATTTTAGTTTATTGCTAATAATTCTGCACTACAAAGACCAAGCTTTTTTTCTTTTTTTTTCTTTTTTTTTTTTTCTTCTCAATTTCTCTCTCAATGTAAAACGAGCTGTTCTTTGTACATTGAGACTAAGTAGGCCTGATTCTCTACAATTTGGTGTCCTGGCTCTCTACACTTTTCCACATTATAATATGGTGGAGACAATGCAGTATAACATCTTCCTTGCTACAGAACCCCCAGGTCCTCAAGTAACTTAAGTGCCTCCTCCCAGCAAGGTCCATTTCTATCCTGATGGTGCTACTGACTCCTCAGTAATTAGAATGATTGGACACAAAATGGTAACTGCTGATTTTGTACCTTGGCTAACTGTTTGGCTTCTTTGCTATCTGTTCTCCATGGAATGTCTGAGCCCTCACAAATTAACCTGCCAAAATTAACCAGTGAGTCTTAAAATTATTAGAACAATACAGGCATCATAGTGGTATAAACTCTGTTTCTTTGGTTAATCTGAGTGTCAGAACTTCATCAATAGATGAAGACTTCAGCAGATTTTAAACTCTGACATTCCTGGCCACAAACTGTAGTTTTTATTCTGCTTAGAAGTGTCCCTAGGATCATTCATAACTTTCAGAATGAAACTACCAGCTTGTCTGATAATGAGGATTAAAATATGGACCTCCACATGTTTGATAAAAGACATATTTAGTATGTGTTTATATGCTTTGCATTAGATTATCACTCTCTAATTGTCACACCTAATACAAACTGCTGAGTTTTGGGTAGTCCAGTACTTGTTACATGGTTGCATTTATCAGCCTCTTGTTTTTCTGGTTTGGCCATACCAACAGGCACCCCTTGTTGAGAACTCTGGTTTACAGTAAATTTACGTCTTATCACTAAATCTTCAGCTTTCAATTAAATACAGAATTCATTTACCCAAGTTGAAGGAAATGTCCCTTAAAGAAGTCCCTTATTGGAGTGAGTTCACAACTGCTCTCATACACAATGCAAGTGATATTTGCAGGCCATGAGATTTCAGCATGTGAACTATTGTTTAAGAAAGAGATTTTCGATGTTTTTTGTTTACTTTTATTACTTTGCTTATTAATTAATATTTAGGCCTGATGATTTGAAAGGAAAAATGTCTATAGAGAGAAAATAGCTAGATTCCTTCCTACCACTTATCCTCCCCCATCTCGTGGTAAGGTGTCAACGAGACTGGAGACCTTAACTTCCTGAGAAATTAATAGGAATCTTTCTGGTGACTTTAACTTTGAATACAAAAATCACAATTGCATATTAGCTACAATGAATTAATTATATTTGAAATTTGCCTTAGAAAAAACATTTAAACAGTCACTTCATAAATGTTTATCCACCATCAATTACAGAAAATACATGAAAATTAGAAAAAAATATGATTGAAAAAAAATAATTACTGTAGAGTTTCTTAGAACAATTGTACAGATTTCTACAGAAAAGGCACAATTTTTCAGTGATAAACTTTATCTCACTGTGAACTACTATAGATATTTTTCTATTATTATTTTCTTTAAAAATTTACAGTACCCTCTAATGTGTTAAATTTTCTCTCAACAAAGTGTTGACTGAGAATGAGGAGTCTCTGCAAATAATTATTTGGTTTGTAATAACAGACAACCTGACCTTTAAAAGTTTATAAAATATAAATTAGCCTTGGTTTTCAGAGCTATCATAGTAACAGTCCTACAAAATCTGGCACTTATTTATTTATTTATTTATTTATTCCAACATAATTTAGCAGTTTTAGGGTGTCTACTGAGTGGGTGAGTTCAATGAAGATACACATATTTCTATTCTATGTTTTGCCACTGAGAGAAAAAAATTGACACACACTTGCATTTTTAGGATATTACTTCCTTAAATGTGTCTTTAGTATAATTTCTCTTCTATTACCTAAATAAAGAAAACACCAAAAAAAAAAACACCAAAAAGATAGTTTGATTGCAAATCAAGATTGCGTTTTAACAATATAGCAATAGTCATGAAGTTTTCCCACTTTTTTCCCATTTTACAAGTGGGATATTTGAGAGCCATGGAAAAAATTAGGCAACAACATTAGATTAATGGAATCCCACCTTCTTTCAGTGTTGCCCAGTCTATGGAGATGAGAGAGTAATAAAAAAGTAGTGAAACCCACATTGCCCTCTAATCATATTCCTTCAAATAACTCATATACATGTTTTCAGTGTGGTTAGTGCATAGAGACAGTTTATACACTCACAACCTTTTTTTTTTTTTTTCTTTTTTTTTTCCCCAGGATCTCTTTATGTTTCTCTTCACCCCACCATAGGAAAGTGTTTAAGACATCAGATATGCTTCTAACTCTTTCCAACATATTAATCATTTTTTTTTCCCCTCAAAATATTCAGTTGATTCCCTTCAGTTCATTTCCCAAAACTGCATTTATGTAATGCCTGAGTAATAAAAGTCAGCAGAATTACTAGATGGAATCTCATACTTTTGCATTATCATTGAAAAAGACATTACTATTCCCCTATCAAAAATATCCATCAACCTAATTACATCCCTTTTCTTCACAAAGTTTTAAAATAGGATACCTAAGTATGATAGACAATGTAGAGTTATTATTTAATGACCATAGTGGAGATACATTTTGATTCATTTTCTTACGTGTTAAAAATTTATGACAAACATAAAACCCTGATATAGCAGCCAGATCATTTGTAATGGTCATAATTTTATTTAAATCATATATAGATAAAACAGTATGTACATTTTAAAGCATTATGCCATCCTGAACCACTTAGGGAAGTAGACTGGTAATTCAAAAGGATGTAAAATTTAGCCCTAGCTGGAGAAAAAAAAAAAAAAAAAGTGTATTCTGAAGCTTGACATATAAAACAATATTCTTCTTGCATTTTTTTGTGCATAATTTGTATCGATTTTAATTATCTTTCTGGAAATGTCTACTTTTTTTCCCTATCTAGCTTAAGGGTTTAAAGACTGATTATTAAAGACTGATTATTTTATTGCCTTGTAATATTATGTTGCTGTGTTT